GGGACATGACGAGTGTAGCTCTTGTAACTACACTTAGGTAATTACATGAATTTCATTGTCAACTGAAAGCAGAGAGTGTCTTTGATCTTGATACTGGTTATATGAAAAAAAAAAGTTTACCCGAAAATGTCTCGAATATATTTGCATGTGATTATAGTTAGCCTATTTATCACTCTTGTTGAACCCCTAGTTAACTTGGGGTGTCACACAACCCCAGATGGAAAACACTACTCTAAAGCTTAATTTGCTAAAGGGCTACAAAAGAGCCAATTTGCTAAAGGGCTACGAAAGAGCCAATTTGCTAAAGGGCCAAGTGTTCCAGTAGGCAATTAACCACCTGCTTTGTGCACGTTAAGGAAACAGATTCACGGAAAATTAAAATGAAATGTGTGAAACATTAAACGAAAAGTTCTAAAGTATGTTTGTAGAAAATGAAATCTTCAGGGAACCAGACATAATAAGAATTCCAGAGGACAACATAGAGCACATAGAGGTGTCTAGCGACAGGAAAAAATGCTGAAGGAGCTAAGTAAGAACAAAGCAGTTGGCCCAGATGGAGTTTCGTCATGGGTTCCGAGAGAATGTGCACCCGAACTCGGCATTCAATTTCAACTGATTTTTTAGGCATTCCCGTGTACAGGAGTCAGCAGATGTGTGGAAAAAGGCTAAAATAATTCCAATCTACAATAGTGGTGGCAGGGAAGACTCCCTCAATTATAGACCTGTATCATTGACAAGTGTAATAGTCAAAATATTGGAAAAAATAATTAAAAGTAAATTGGTAGAACACCTGGAGACAAACTATATAATATCAGACAGACAGTATGGTTTTCGATCTGGAAGATCCTGTGAAACAAATTTCCTCGGTTTCTATGAATGTGCCACAGAGATCTTACAGGAAAAAGGTGGTTGGGTTGACTGCATCTATCTGGACCTAAAAAAGGCTTTCGACAGAGTTCTACATAAAAGGTTGTTCTGGAAACTGGAACATATTGGAGGGGTGACAGGTAAGCTTCTAACATGGATATAAAAATTTTCTAACTGATAAGAAAAATGAGGGCAGTAATCAGAGGAACTGTATCGGACTGGAGAAATGTCATAAGTGGAGGACAACAGGGGTTCAGTTCTTGCACCAGTAATGTTCACTGTCTACATAAACGATCTGGTTGATACCTGGTTGGTTGAAGTCCATCTACCAGATGGAATGTAGAATTATATGAACATGTTTGCTGATGATGCTAAGATAATAGGGAAGATAAGTAACATAGATGATTGTCTTGCCCTTCAAGAAGACCTGAACAGAATAAGTATATGGAGCACCACTTCGCAAATGGAATTTAATGTAAATAAATGCATGTTATGGAATGTGCAATTGGAGAACATGGGCCCCCCCCCATACAATCTATAAATTATGCGAGAAATCGTTAAAGACGTCTGATAAAGAAAGAGATCTAGGGGTGGTTCTAGATAGAAAACTATCACCACATTAGGAACATTGTGCAAGGAGCCTGTGCTGCACTTTCTAACTTGAGAATTGCTTTTAAATACATGGATGGCAAAATACTAAAGAAATTGTTCACAACTTTTGTTAGGCCAAAGCTAGAATATGCAGTGGTTGTGTAGTGCCCATATCTTAAGAAGAGCATCAACAAACTGGAAAAGGTGCAAAGACAGGCCACTAAGTGGTTTCTAGAACTGAAGGACAAGAGCTATGAGGAAAGGTTAGAGCTTAAATATGCCAAAACTAGAAGAAAGAAGAAAAAGAGGTGATATGATCACTATGTACAAAATAGTAACACGAATTGATAAAATTGATAGGGAAGATTTCCTGAGACCTGGAACTTTAAGAACAAGAGGTCACAGATTTCAACTAACTGAACAAAGTTGGCGAAAAAATATAAGAAAATTCACTTTCGCAAACAGGAAGTTTGTTAGTGTTAGAACAAGTTAGGTGAGGTGGTGGTGGAGACCAAAACTGTCAGTAATTTCCAAGTGTTATATGACAGAGTGCTGGGAAGAAGGGACACCACGAGCGTAGCTCTTATCCTGTAACTACACTTGGGTAATTACTTGTTTCATGTGACAACTTCTTGAGGTTATCTTGAGATGATTTCGGGGCTTTAGTGTCCCCGCGGCCCGGTCCTCGACCAGGCCTCCACCCCCAGGAAGCAGCCCGTGACAGCTGACTAACACCCAGGTACCTATTTTACTGCTAGGTAACAGGGGCATAGGGTGAAAGAAACTGCCCATTGCTTCTCGCCGGCGTCTGGGATCGAACCCAGGATCACAAGTCCAGCGTGCTGTCCGCTCGGCCGATTGGCCCCGATCAGCAACTTGGGTGCAAGTGCACAGGAAATTTTTGTTTTCTTTCTAATATTGTTACAATACATTCCCTGATCACAGGAAACTTCAAATTTTTATATAGCTTCCTTTATACTGTATATAGATTTCTCTCAAACCAAATTCATAATTTAAAAATATAAATATAAATTTATAAATATTAAAAATACAAAACAAAATTCTATATCGCTTATTTTCTCTGTGGTGGAGAGAGGAAGTATTGAGTTGCCATCACTGATTCACATCACTGATGGATGTGACGTCCCGTGGAGCTGCCCGGGCCGGACAGGTGGCAGGAGTTGCCACCAATATGTTCATACAGATTTAGTTCAATGTCACTGATTTGTATTTTCACTGGATTTTTGAAGCTTATATTATGCAGCAGTGTGTAATTTGACCAATCTTTAGAATAAAACGTGTGGAACATTGATGCACACAACTACATTTGTGTCACTAATGTGTGCATAATACTTTGCACAATAAAACATACTGTTTTTGGTATTATTACACTATATACACATTTCATATAATTATCTATGTTTATGCACTGATAAGAATGACTCGGCAGTTGTGGTAAATGTGATAATCTCATAACCATTGATCCAAAGGCAGCCCAGCTGTGGATGTGGTGTTGAAAGTACTACAAACTCTACCACCAAATATTTTGCTTCAATAGCCATGTACTCTGAACACTTTAATTCCTTCATGATTTCTACTCCATGGTTTTGGTAGGAGCATCAGAAATGTTATTTTTCACTTCTGTTTGTCACTCTACTAAACTCTTCTTTTAACTGTTTAAGTGTTGAAGAATTTTTATCTTTGTGGCTTTGCAATCTGGGGATAAAATTGAATACCTAAGAAAACATTCAAGCTTCCTTTTCACAGCTCCTTCCACTCTCTGTAGGTTTCTTCTTAGTATAATGTAGACTGTGAGATAGTCTCCATGCCTTCATCGATCTCCTATTTTGCCCAGCAGCTTAATCATTTCAGCAAGTTCATACTGATCAGCTGCATTATCTTCCGTATCTTTAGCCTCAAATTCTGCTACATTGTCTTCATGGTTTCAGCCTCGGATTCTTCACTGCACATTGCGGACTGTGGTGACGGAGATTTTGCTCACTTCCATAGACAGTTTTTGCATTATGGTTTGTTGTGAGTTTAAGGGACAGATTTCTGCCTCAGATCTTTAGGTAAGAGTCGGTCGGCCGAGCGGACAGCACACGGGACTTGTGATCCTGTGGTCCTGGGTTCGATCCCAGGCACCGGCGAGAAACAATGGGCAGAGTTTCTTTCACCCTATGCCCCTGTTACCTAGCAGTAAAATAGGTACCTGGGTGTTAGTCAGCTGTCACGGGCTGCTTCCTGGGGGTGGAGGCCTGGTCGAGGACCGGGCCGCGGGGACACTAAAAGCCCCGAAATCATCTCAAGATAACCTCAAGAAGAGATGAATGTCTTTAAAGATGTTCTTGCATTTGGCAGCATAGTGACCAAGATTTAGGATATTCAAGTTCTGGAACATTTTATTGACCTGAAAATAAACATTGATCAAATACCTTGGAACTGTCTAGAGATTGTGTTATATAAACAGTAGATATATGGTCAACAATTTTTTAATGAGAAAAATAGAACAAGATTTGTCCCACAACTGTAGCTCAAATGGTTCCAGAATTAAGGCTCTCCAAAAGTTTGTATATATAGACAAGGGCAAGGTTTTCAACTGAGGTTGAAGTCCATTAAAATGAATAGCTCCTAGAATAAGAAGTTCAGGAGCTAAGAAGTTCAGGAGCTAAGAAGTTTAGGAGCTAAACTAAACAAACTTTTTCAGTTTTTTAAACTGAAAAAAACTGCATTCATCGAACTGATGGCTATTCACCATATGAGCCGTGGCCTGCCCTTCCCCAAATAAAGGGAAGGTGGAACGAACAAGCTGGTACTGGATGTAACACTTTCGGTCATTTGTTTACATAGTTTGGGGAGTTGTATGGCTGGTTTCACGTCTGCAGGTATCAGACGCTGCCAGCTGTGGTTGGTTTTGACTTTGTGGGGGCTTCCCTTGATGGTAGCGTAAATGAATACATTAATATATAAATGCCACAACTCCCCGCACCCCCTGAGGAGACCAGGTTCCTAGTGCCGTGTTCCCTGTAGGCCAGATAACTCGACGACTGATGACACCTAGTAAATGGCACCTACATTAAAGATGGTAGCTTCAGGGAGTCATGGGGGGCTCACCCAGAAATTGGTGTTTCATTACATTCAGCACTTGTTTTTTATTGTAAATTTGATAACCCACTTGGAGAGTTGTACAGTGTTCTCTATTACTGCTTTGTATACTTTGCCTCAGTCCTGGAAAGATGATGATAAGTAATCAACAGTTTTCATTTCTCAAGTATTATTTATCCAACTTTCTTTTACTTATTTTTCAATAAAGTTGGTCTTGCAAGACTAGAGGTAAAAAAATAAAAACAAATAATTGTTCAAATTTTAGGAGAAATGTGAGTAACTCGGTATTATTCAACATTCCTATGTACAAAAATTGAAGACTGGCAATATAATGCAGTCTGGTACTTGTTTATGGTATATGAAGGTGTGTGTAGTTGGCGCTGTTGTTCAAAGTTTTTTTTTGGTTTACTACAATATAGTTATTGTTCATCTTTCAGGTCTCGCAGTGGTACGACCTGGTGGTTTTCACAGCTAGTATGGAAATATATGGAGCGGCAGTTGCGGATAAGCTGGATGGCGGCCGTGGAATTTTACGGCGGCGATATTACCGCCAACACTGTACGCTCGACTATGGTAGTTACACAAAAGACCTGGCTGCCATTTGTCCTGATTTGGCTTCTATATTCATTCTAGATAATTCCCCAGGAGCGTATAGGCAATATCCAGGTGAGGGAAATTGTTAATCCATCTATTTATCCACCTACCTGTCCTGTCCATCCAACCAGCCACTTTCCTCTCTATCAGTGCACTCACTCGTATATCTAGTACCTAAGCAATAATTAATCCAGACACCAATGTTTACCCACCTTCCCCAACCATTCATCTGCCACCTTTCTCTTCACCTACCCATCCTCATATATTGTGACCCTCACTTAAACCAAGACAACGTTTACACTGCGACATGCACGCGCACACTGAGGCTGAGAGTCTGATGACTCTCAACGCACCTGTGGGATATCTGGGGCTTGACTCATATATTCAATTATTTACTTATTGTATTTAATAAATCGAAGGACCACCCACTTTTGTGAAAAGAGGGAAAACGAATAAAAGTGATCATTAGAATAACACTAGAGAATCAGTGTCTATGGATACTAATTAAATGAATAATCACTTGAAAATAATGAATAGACTGTATTATTAAAGTCAAAGCCTCAAAGGCCTACATTGGGGGGTATTTCTAGAAGTTCATATATATCTAGGAACCAGTGTGGTTCGTCACTAGTTCATTGTTGAGTAAATAACATAATAAATCTAAACTACTATAGATTCAAAGATATGATAACTCAAATTATGAATATTAAAGAATTTGAATTACTGAGCAACAGTCAGAGCAAAACACATTAATTACCAATTATCATTTCTGGTAATAATCTATTCAATGTAAAGATCCTACAGGAATTATATAGAAATCAATAATAATATTAAATAAATTTGTACGAAAAATGTCTTAGCTTTAAGACGATTTCTGTAACGCCATTTCGTCATTCGTCCTCGTGGTCACAGGATCTCCACAAAGAAAGAACCCGAGGTGAATATCACGAATGATGAGAAACAACTTGACGACTCCTCGTATACACGCTGAAATCAGAGAAATTTAAGTAGCATTTGATTAGGCTACGATTTATTTTCAATATTCATGAAAACGGAGAAAATTGTCATAAGTTTACTAACATTGTGTATTAGGTATCCTTGCTGTATGACGACAAACTACTCACAAATATATAATCTAGGATGATGCATCAAACGAGAACCATATACTTAACATGAGCGTATCAAATACTGAGGTCTGCCGAAACCGCGTCAGCTAGTCCCAGACGTCCACTGCTGTGTACGTGTAATTACGGGTCTTGGCTTCAATTGTTGACGCGTTATTAACTGGCCGGGCACTATAGAACACGTGGATAAGTAATGATTAACTGTTGACCAGGTATCAACGTAATTCTTGTCGATAAACTCCCCAGTCACTACCACGTGTCTCGCCACTCTTCACGCCAGGGATGCCCTCTCTCACAATGGCATCTCCGCCTCCTTCAATCCGTCTCTCGCATTCACCACAGAAATTATTAATCACAAATAATTCTTTTCCACCCAATTATGGATGTAATACGTTAATGAGAACTGGGTTGCAATTATACTGATTTAAATATTATCATATTCTCGTTTTATGGTGTTAAACGAGAAATGGAGAAGATTTTATTTTCTCCATGACATTCGCACGTAACAGAGAAAACTGTTACTACATAACTATTTCAGTTAATAACTCTCGGTTTTAGATTATTGGGAGTTATATTATCCGTAGGTAATTATTACACGGAATACTGACAATTTTAGAGAACCACATTCAATTCTCTAACACATTGGTAATAAATGTGTCCAACTGGATATTATCTGACGCAATGTTGCTACTCGATTTCATGAGAATTCTAGCACTAATACGCAGATGAAATGGTTAATTTATGTTGACACTACCGTTAGTGAAATTAATTACTACTGTAGTTAGTATATGATGATGATGATTTATTATAATACAATAGTAGTTTATTAGCGTTGGAAATTTCCAACAGCGCCTCCCACATGTTGCCATTTGCTGTTTACTTAAGTGACTACTAGGAAGCAAGGAATATATTTATAATAAACTTAATGTAGATGTCTGAAAAATAGTAGTTTTATTTTGTATTGCTTTCAGATTTATTGTAATTTGTAATGAAAGAAAATAAGATCCTGTTCAGTGATGTTTATTGCTAAATGAGTTATAGATTTTTATTTGCATGTTAAGTGATACATAAAGTTTGTTAGTCTACAGTTTCACGGTGCTAAATGAGAATTATTAAATCAATTTCTATGCAGATAATGCAGTTCCCATTAAGTCGTGGTTCAGTGATCCCCTGGACACGTCCCTGCTCAACTTGCTACCCGTGTTGGACGCACTCCGTTTTACTGCTGATGTGCGTTCTGTTTTGTCTCGAAATCTACACCTTCACCGTTTATGGTAGCACTCAGGTATGTCTGTACGATCATGTAGGAATTAAGCAGGCGATGAGTCACAATAACGTGGCTGAAGTATGTTGACCAGACCACACGCTAGAAGGTGAAGGGATGACGACGTTTCGGTCCGTCCTGGACCATTCTCCATGACAATTGACTTGAGAATGGTCCAGGACGGACCAAAACGTCGTCGTCCCTTCACCTTCTAGTGTGTGGTCTGGTCAACATGTAGGAATTAATTTAGTTATTAGACTGATTGCATATGCATGTACCTTGTACCTTAACCTTTAAATTAATTAAATTGCTGTTCACACCATGAGGTTGCTTTATGATCACATAGTTCCCCGAGATCACTAGCTGCCAAGTTTATCTCCGTTATTTTCCTGTCACAAATTTTTCACTACCTCTGCTACTTCCATGTTAGCTCTTGTAATCCTCATGACTGCTGGAAACTTGTTTTAAAATTCACTGTATATTAATGCTTAACACTTTGATGTTCCCGGGACGTAGTTGACATACACAGATAACTCTGGGGATGCCCGCCTGAAACGTATGTGGCGCCCAAAATGAAAATATTTGTTAAAATTCAATTTTTTATCCAATCATTATGGGACGTGTTTTAAATTTTGAGCAAACGTCTTCCCATTTTCTGTTATGGCCCATGTGGCATCAAGGCACCACATGCCGTCATAGGCTCATTATTATTGTCTGAAACCTCGTGACCACTGCAGCCTCCCCTCGCGTCCAACATGTGTGCCCGTTCCGGCTATTTTTCCTCGGCTATATTTGTTAATTCCTTTATACACTCTACATTTACCCTAAGATGGATACTGCTCAAGAACAGTGCCGTCCCAGGACAAGAGCAGTGAAAGAAAGACGTCTGAGGGAGAATCTAAGTAGCGTTTGGCAAAAGTAGAGAAAAGTGAAACTCGCCAACAAAATTCCAGGCTTTAGTTGACAAATTTTCTGATCTTGAAAGTAACGAAAGTGACAGTATGTAGATAGTGAGGTGATTGAAACTGAAACAGTAGATGAGGATGAAATTGAAAGTGAGGGGAGTGATGATGATGATTTTGATACCACCACAGCTACACGTGCAGAGCGTGCTAATAGATCTTGTACCACACGTACCCCACGCACCAGTTCTGGTGAAGCCTGGTCTACTGACAACACTGCACCATTTGTAGACAGTTTTACTGGAACACCGGGCTTGATGGTACCAGTACCAAGCACTCCTCTGGGATTTTTACAGTTATTACGCAAGATTTGCTGAAATTTATGGTACATGAAACAAAATTGTATGCATCACAAAGCATGTCCAATGCTTCTGACAACTCAAACAATAAGTGGGATGAAGTGAGTGTAAAAGAGCTTGCCAGATATTTGGCACTGACAATGTTGATATGTGTTATGAAGTTGCCAACGATGAGAATGTACTGGCAAACGGGCAAATTATGGGATGTACATTCTTTCAATACTTTTATGATTGCTCTTATTGTGAAACGCCATGAATTGATCTCAAAGTATTTTCATACTTATAACAATAATGCCATTCCCAAAGACAATGAAGACAGACTAATAAAAGTTTGAACATTCATGGAATGTCTCTCAAAATATCCAAAACATTATACATTCCTCAGAAAAATCTGTGTTTGGATGACAGCACAATATCTTGGCGTGGCCGTCTTGCTTTCTAAGTTTATAATCCAAATAAGCCTGATTAGTATGGAGTAAAACTGTACATGCTGGCTGAATCACATACTGATTACATCTATGATTTTAAAGTGTATGTAGAAATTGGGAAAACAATGATTCAAGCGGTTATGGGCTTGATTGAACCTCTGAAGAATAAAGGTTACCATTTATATATGGATAACTACTATAACTCGGTTCAACTGAGTGAAAAGCTGGTTGAACAAGGTGCATACACCTGTGGTACTCTCAGATTGCTGTGTGGTGCACCAAGTGATCTTCGGCTACAAGCAAAGGGTAAACTGACAGTAGATAAAACTGTATTCCGACAGAAGAACAATACTTTTATAATTCTGTGGAAAGATAAGCGAGTTGCTTCACTCATCACAACTTGCCACAATGCAGATACACGAGTGGAACGAAGAACACGAGTGCACAAACCTGACGAAACATCTTCAGTGCAACAGGTCACTGTGAACAAACCGAAACATCTTCAGTGCAACAGGTCACTGTGAACAAACCGAAACATCTTCAGTGCAACAGGTCACTGTGAACAAACCGAAACATCTTCAGTGCAACAGGTCACTGTGAACAAACCGAAACATCTTCAGTGCAACAGGTCACTGTGAACAAACCGAAACATCTTCAGTGCAACAGGTCACTGTGAACAAACCGAAACATCTTCAGTGCAACAGGTCACTGTGAACAAACCGAAACATCTTCAGTGCAACAGGTCACTGTGAACAAACCAAACACAATCTGTGCCTACAATAACAACATGAAAGGTGTTGATCACTTTGACCAAATGGTTAAATATTATCATTTCACTCGGAAATGTCACAAGTGGATAAAGAAATTCTGCTTTCTGCAAATGGCTATCCATAATGCTTTTGCATTATACAAGTACTACACAATTGATACAAAGAAACTTAAATTGCTGCATTTCCACGAAGAGATCATTTTGTCACTACTGAATTTTGAGTCTAAGAATAGTCCTCTCCAAAATGACAACATACATGCTCGTGATGCACATAAGAGCAGATCTACTGGCGACAATGTCTCAACACCCGGACCATCAGGTGTGAGGCGGCCACTATTCCCAGCTTCACCTCGAGAGGAAAATTCATCATCTGACTCAGAAGACGAGAGTCAGATTACTCCTCCTGGTGCTGCTGCTGCTAGGAGAAGCCCTCGTATTGTGGATAAACCAGAACGTCTGAATAGGAACTTGAACCATTCTCTAATTCACATCGAGAAAGGTCTGAAGTGTGGTGTCTGCTACAAGTCTGGTAAAAGGAAGGACACCAAGTTTAAGTGCAAGTCGTGTGGTGTGGCACTGTGTGCTGCACCATGTTACAGCTTGTACCACTGCAAGAGGACATTCTGGGTGGATAAGCAGTAATGTTTACCCTCATCCACTCTACCTATAAAACATGGATTGAGAAACTTCAGGAAGTTTATGGGCTCACCATAGCCCATGCTACATGGACATTTTGTTCTGAGTAGCTAACTAAAACAACAACAACTACTACTACTTCAGGAAACCTTTTCCTGGAGCAGGTGGAGTGGTTCAACCTAATGCTCAACAAACATCATTGGGTGGTAAGTACAGATTTTTCTGGGGGGAGCCCCTTCGGCTCCCCGGAGCTTATCCAGGCTGATATGCTAATGTCGGACTTTGGCATCAACCATGTGTATGGAGTTCTGTGGGGCCTACCGGGGACCACGAGCCAGAACCTGGCCCCCTCAGTGAGGCGTGGGAGCAATGGCCTATAGAAACCTCCGTGTGGTTGGAAGCATTCTATGTCTGCCATTGACCGGGTCAGGCACCCAGAAAGGTAAGTGTCCCAAAACAAACCCCTATTCTGGTGAAAGTTGCTACCAAAAGCCGAACAAGTGGATAGAACTCCACAAAAAGAAACGAGCATGACGTCACACGTCGCCGCGCCGCTGTCTGCGCACCTCCCCCCTCCCTGGGAGGGGGAAGGTGTGCAGGGGAGGTTTTCTTTTTCTTTTTGTTTGTCTGCCTGGTGGGGGGTCTGCCTTGGTTCTTGCCCCCTGTGTACTGGGTATTCTTCCTTCTTCCGGTGGACCTCTTGCTAGGTCCTTGTGTACACGTCCCGGAGGTTCAGTTTCTTAGAACGTTGTTTGGTAGATTTGGGCATTGGTTAGCAGTACCCTGCCTGGGATTACCTGGGTGTGAATTCCGTAAATGCTCAGAACCCTGTGAATCCCCTAGGGAGCGCGTGGGTCCATTGAATGTAACCTCGGAATCCTCCCCTCGCTTTGTGCGAGTTCGAGGGTTGCTCTGTCCCCTTGACTCAGGGTGACTCTCACTGTCTTTGCCTCCGTCTGCTGCCTGTGGGGTTGGTGGCACCTTCGGCCCGGAGTCCTTCGAGTTTTGTTGCTTATTTGTGACTTGGTTATCCAGTCTTTTGCAGACTATGCGGGTACAGGCAGCACGGGCATTGCATGTTGCCTTTCGCGGGTGGCAATGCGCTAGGTAGTTGGACTACCTGGAAGCCCTGAGGTTGCGCAGTTTTGGTTGGTGTGACAGGGCTTGGGGGGATGTTGGTTGCTTCAGTTTTGTTTCTTTCCACGCACCCTTATTTTTCCCCTGTAGTGGTCTTGAGACTCGGGCGGTCTTGGGAAATTCCCGTTCCGGGGTAGCGACGGGGGCATTCGAGCCTGTTCCTCCAGCTGTGTTGTACGAGTCTGCCAGTGGGCTCCCTTCCTTAGTACTTGTCTTGCTGCCCTGGCTTTTTCTTATGAGGCTGGAGCTTTTGGGGAACAGCTCGGCCCCGGGACCTGCCTGGTGGGTTCCCAGGGCTGGTGAGGGGCTGATGTGGGGTTCCTCTGGCCCCATTGAACCCCCGCCTAGATTTTTCTACCCTCTGGACGGGGCTTGCAGTTACAAGGAGTGGGGTTCCCCCCCCTCCCCCTCCCCCCTCCGTACATGTTTTTGGGGGGGGGGTCGACCCCTCCCTGGGATCGGTTACTTGTTCCTTGGATCCACCGGGTCCGTCCTGTGATCCACCAGGTCGGTGGGTACGTTTCTCCACCCTTTTTCTTGGGACGGGCCCTCACTATCATTTTCCCCTCTTGGGGTTCTGCATGACTTTTGGTCTCGGTTGCAACTTTGTCTTCTGTGCCTTCGTGCTTGCTTATGTTTTAGAAGGATCAGGACAGTTTTGCTTCTTCCCGTATTATTGGAATCTCTCGTCTTCCAGTCCTTTCTGGGGCTTGTTGGTCCTTCTCCGAGCTTCTTGGTTTTCAGTCCCGTTTCGTTCTTTCGTGTTTGTCTCTTCTCTCCGTGCTCTGTCCTGCGTTGCACAGGGTTGCCAGAGTGGGCTCCATGTAGCCCAAATGGGAAGCTGTTCTATGATTATTTTCACTCCTCTTTTAGACTACGGTTGGCGGCTGCCCTGTATACTTTCTTTTGGGTTTTGGTCATTAACAACACTATTTTGTCTAGTTTTCTAGTCACATTCATGGTTTCTTTCTTCGGCTCACGACTTCTAGCAACTCAATTCTGGCATCCCTGGTGCGCATGTGCCATGGTTGTTTGTTTTGATATGGGCAGTGTGCACATGTGCTGGGGTTCTGTGTTCTTTTTCTCTTGGGTGCTTTGCCTCTTGCTCCTCTAAATTCTCCAGTTCGTGCCCAGTAGCTACTGGGGGTGTTCTGGATTGCTGCTATGAGGAGGACGCTGGGTTTTCCCTGCGTATGGGTGTGGGGCTCCTCCTTCACCTCTACCCTCCTCTTCTGCATTTGCGGCTCTGCCTTCTTCCACTGGCCGTGCTCCCAGAATTTTCTCGGCTACATTGTGTCGTGACACGTTCATGCCTATGTTCTGCAGGCGAGTTTATGCGGTCTGGTATCTCTTTCGGCCAGGCGCTGGTTCGTGGTTTTTGGATATGAATATAAGAACATCAGAACACAACCAGGTGCCTGCAGCAGGCCTCTTCGGCCATACGAGGCAGCCCCTGTTTATACCAATCCAGTCCCACTCTTATGCATGTCCAACCCATGCTCGAGGCCAGCTAGGGACCCCAGCTCCACCAGGTTACGAGGTACAATGGTGGGGGTATATGTTATGGGGTAAGTGTTACTGTCCGGATGTTTTGAGGTGCCATTTTACTGCAGTTTTCATACTGTGGATGCGTGTTGCGGATTGGTTGTGGCGTTTTGTCTGGCCCTTCCATGCTTCTTCCTGTGGCCTTCCTTGTTCGTCTGGGTTCATGGTTGCAAGGGAGGTCACGGCCCCGTTTTTCGTGGTCTTATCTGTGTCATTCATTCCTTCCCTGTCTTGGAGTGCCTGGCTTCGCCCTTCCGTATACCTTGGATTCTCTGTACAGTACTTGTTTAGTTGTACTTTCCTAGTTGTGTTTGCAGGAGTTGAGCTCTGGCTTTTTGGTCCCGCTTCTCACCTGTCATTTGCTCATGTGCAGGTTCCTGTGCCTGCTGGGCTTTATCTTATCTGCACTTGAAGCTGTGTGTGATGTCATCCTCCACCACATCGTTTCCTCATGCATTCCGCTTGTCTACTCCTCTGACACTGCAATATTTCTTTCCCATGTCTCTATGGCTCATTTGGGCTCTCTTTCCACCCGTGTGCCCCCTGGGGTCCCGTAGTCGATCTTTCTCTACCTTGTCACTTCCTTTGAGAATCTTAAATGTGGCGATCAATCTTCGTAGCTCATACTCCTGGGTTCGATTACTGGTCTGGTGGCATACCTTTGCACCTTTTTCCTTTTAGTCTAGTGTTGGGACGTGTCACACTACTGTGTTGTTGGCGTGGATTGTTGGAACATGCCCAGCGGCTCTGTGTGTTGTTGGTCGTGTCCCTTTCATTCCAGTTTGCTATTTGCCTTCTTCGTTCCTCATCTTCCTTCTACACTCTTGTACGTACCCGGCCGTTAGTGCTGGGGCTTTTCTTCTGGTCATTTTCTTGGGTTTTTCCGTTTTCTCCTTTTATCCTACACATGGATGTGTGTTTTGTTTGTGCCTTGTGCCTCTCCTATTGTCAGGTTTGTGTTCCTGGTTTCCTGGCTTAACCTGCCTGTTGGCATTTTCACGGTCTAACGGTGTCCCTTCTCTAGAGTCTGGGGTCGGGACTGTCGTCTCCGATCTCCTGGCGGGCTCACTGGCATTGGAATATTTTTCTGTACAGCAGATGTGCCATCTCCTCCTTTGCCAACTTGGGTTTCTGGCTCTGCTGGCTCCGTGGTCGCACCCAAGATCTTCCTGCGGCTCCGCCTCTTCCTAGGCTCGATTGGCCCATGGCGGGGCTGGTTCGGTTCTGCTTCGAGTCTCTCACCTTCTGTTGGTGTTGGGGTGGCTTCGTTGATGGTGTCCCACCTGCGTGCTTCTTCTTGGCAGTCCTTCCTTTTCCTTCTGTCCCTTCTTAGATAACTGCGTTTGTTGACGTGGTCTTGTCCTTCTCTTGTGGAGGTTCAGGTCCGTCATCTTGCCCCATACTGTCGCCTCATATCGTGTGGCGCTGGCGGAGCCTCTTCAGCTTGCTTTCAATATTGATGTTACGTCTGTGCCGTTTCACGAGCTGTCTCGTGCGTCGTTTCACCTCCAGCCTGCTCATGCGCTGCCTGAACTGTCTTGATCATTGGACAGAATGCTCTCCTTTCTTCTCCATGGTTTGTTGTGGCCCCTTCGGTTCACGATTGTTTCGTGGAGGCTCTTTTTCTGTTGACATTGGCCTCTAGGGGTCGGGTCGGTGAGCTTCATGCTCTCCTCTGGCGCAGGGGTTTTCTGCTCCTTCGGTTGTGGCGATAGGTTTGTTTGTCAGCAGCTGTTTCCTTCTTCACTGGCAAAGAATGAGACTGCTGCTTTCCGGAGGGGTCTTTCGGTTATTGATGCTTGGCTGGTCGGGCCGGGGGTGCATCATGTCTTGTGTCTGGTGCAGCCCTCCACCATTATTTGCGTGCCACGGCCTGTGTCCGGGGACGCGCTTTGGGTTGATCTGGATTACCTTCTTCCCTGTTCGCGGGTATGGGTCTCCCAGGTCGTCTGCAGGGTTGCTAAGGCTAGCCAGCCTGCAGTCTATCCCTGTGCCCATGAAGTTTCCAAGTTTGCTGCTCTTGCTGCTGTTTTTGGCAACATGTCCTGGGCTGACATTTGGGCGCGGGGATTTTGGCAATCGAACAGGGTCCTGGCTGCGCATTATCTCCCAAACGTTACTGGGCCTAGTTGAGCCTGTGTCGCTTTGGGTCGGCGGTTGCAGCCAGTTGTCTCGGCTTCGAGTTGCGGAGTGTGCGGCGACAGCCTCCCGGGGTAAGTCCTTTCACTTTTCTTCTGGGTAGTTATCTCCGGGGACAAACAAAGGACAGTGGTTAAAACTGCTGCCTACGTCCAGAAAGAGCAAGAGAACTCTCCTAGAAAGAAAACAAAATAAGCAACAAGTCATGCTTGTTTTTCCCCCTTCCTTACCCCCTGTCCCCTCACTTGGCATTCAGGATTCACTCCCCGATGAGGACTTCTTTGCTTGCGGTGAGTCTTGGCCCTTGCAGTTGTCTTGGGGCTTGCCATCTTGCCCCGGTTAGGGGAGTGTTTCTGTGGGAGAAGCCCTGTTTGTTGTATTTATGTATGTAGGTTAGATTAGCATTTGAAAAGCACTGCAATCACTTTCTGTGGTTGATTGTTCATTAAATCGCTGAACTATACGTTCAACAGATCTCTAACCCTGTCCATGGAAGACAGAAGAAAATGTGTATATGCTGGTTAGCATTGTAAATGTGTGGCCATGTCTGTGGCATCAAAATACATAATAAAAAAAAATTCATTCAGTGAATTTTCCCTTGGTACCCCAAGAGCACATCCAGCCTTTACCAGTCTAACCTGTCGAGTTACTGGAGCATCTGTTTTTATTATTATTATTTTGTTTCATAATTCAAAAATATTTGGATCGATACATTTTCATTGGTAAACCGTTTTCTCTAAATATATAAGAATGAGTTATCAATCAGTGGAGTAAAGTTACTAAAGGAATTCTTATGGTATTTGTTTTGTTTTTATTTGCAGGGTTCTAGTTTGTATGGTGTGGCTGTGGCTCTACAAGTTACTACCGGCCACCTTTATTGGTCTCAGGGGCATGTGAGGGCAGCTGAAAAGCCTTGGCAGGCCCCCCCCCCTTCCCTCCTACTGGCATGAGTGGTGAGTGACTGGTGAGAACGCTGGTGGAGTGAATGGTCTACTTGGGGAGTCCTCAGTCCAACTGAGTCTCTCCCATACAATTTTTTATTTTTTTTTTTCATAACAATAGATTAATTTAACCTTTATAGTGCGTGAACACATTTTTATATAGAATAATGTTTAGCTACAGAATATATATATGTGAAGTCATTTGAAGGATGTTGAACATTTAAATTTTGATTTGTCAAGCTTAGAATACTACTGGGTCAAGTAACGTGGCTTAGGGATATGTTGTCTGTGACGTGGGCTAGGAGCTCATTAGTGTGTTTGTAAAGAGAGCTTTGAGCACTTGTCTCAGAGATGAAATTGGAGCCATCACTGAAATGGTGGTTTGAGCTGTGTTGTGTGTGTGTGTTTCTGGACAAAAGAGCTCTATTGTCTTTGTTCGTCATTGACTTAGAACTCTTGTTGTTTAAACATCATTGATAAAAGTGGTTGGCAGGCATGTATAATGTTGACAGGCATATATAATGTTGGCTTGAGGCTCCATTGTTAGCAGGGCTTAAAAAATAAAATTCAAAATTTGTAGCTAACCCACTAGGGTAGCTGCTTAATGCCTTGGTTGTCCAGCAGACTTTTCCTCTACCTTGACAAATGTTTTCTGTGCCACCCAGAAGCTGAAGCTTCTGGGTGGTACAGAAACCAAGACAAGATCACAAGACAAGATTAGTGACAAGATCACTAGATTTAAAAATATAAAAATATCATTGCATCTAAAAATATTTCTAATTGATTTATAGCAAAGTTGTGAAGACAAAATTTTTTTGCTCGTGTTGGTGTTGCTGTACAAGTGTATGTGAAGTGTAAATAGATCACAAATGTGGCTGTCAGCTGGCTGACTCATAAAAGTCAAAGGTTGTCATTAAGGGACATTCTGTATACAAGTGAACATTCTGGCTAGTACAATGACCAAAATTAATTGTCTTGGTCTACAAGGCATCAGATTTTTCAAGTCGTGGTTTGTAATGTGAAATTAGGGCTCGGGAGTCGGTGAAAACCGGCTCGACCCCTCGTAGACATCCCTGTTGATTGCGAGTGAAGTGAATTAAGAGCTCTCTTGAATATGAACAAGTAACTTGGATTTGTTTAAGGATTTATAGGACCCGTGACAGTCCCCTCGGAGTTTTACTGGGCTGTACTGAGATGACCCACTAACACATGAAGGTACAAAGGTTTCCAATTTAAATATTGGGTTGTAAGAAAGTGTATTTGTAAATATGTAGCTATGCATGTAGGTACAAGGTTCTTTTTAGTAGTTCTTGAGCCTTTTGTTGTGGTGAAGGTGGTGATGAGGAGACCATGGTGTCCAGGACTGCTGATGGTACCATGTAGTTATAGTTATGTAGTTATGGAGTTATGGATATGAGTGGGTAGCACGTTATAGAGATCCAAGTTGTGGAGTAGAAATGTGGAGTTAATTATTGGCAGGGAAATGGGTAGATTACCTGTTTAACCATCATGGTTTGATGTAGCTGCATGTAGACTTTATATTTGTATGCAGAGAATGTGAATAATACTGCACTATATATGAAGTATAGTATTGGTCTCATCTGATTTCCTCATCCCGTTCACTACATGTAACATAAGAAATATCCATACAAGACTGCTGGTATATCTCAAGTGTAAATCAGTCCAGATTTTAGGCCTCTGATCTCGCTGGATTCAGTGTATTGCCTGAGACGTGTAATGTGCATGCACGTCATAGCGGCAACAGTTAACACCGTATTCCGTCACCAATTCCCAGACATTCACACACCTGTTTCTAATTTCATCTTTCCTGATGCACTATCCAGCTTGGAACATTGTCCTGATTCAGTGTTCGTGTGAGAAAATATTGTCAATGGCTACTGTTGTAAGGGTTTTTTAAATTGCTCCTTTCTGTTTTTTTTTTTTTTGTTTTTTTATATACTATGTAATGGCAGAACTAAGCATTCATACTTGTGATAGGGAATATATCTCGAATATGAAGTGCTATAGTGATTTTGTTTTATACTGGACTATTTATATTTAGTCAAGTAAAATCAAAGGTACAGTACTAAAAATTTTGAAGATGAAGGAAAGACCCAATGTATTTGTAAGTGAATTAAAAAACAAATTTTTGGATGTAATCTATATTTTTTCTCAGGGTACCATACACAGTGTTCTGAGAACATTGTGTTCAGTACCTTGAGAAAGGATGTGCGCGCGTGTGTGTGTGTGTGTGTGTGTGTGTGTGTGTGTGTGTGTGTGTGTGTGTGTGTGTGTGTGTGTGTGTGTGTGTGTGTGTGTGTGTGTGTGTGTGTGTGTGTGTGTGTGTGTGTGTGCGCGCGCGCGTGTGCTCACCTATTTATGCTTACGGAGGTTGAGCTCTGACTCATTGTTCCCACCTCTCAACTGTCGGTCAATTGGTGTACAGATTCCTGAGCCTACTGGGCTCTGTCATATCTACACTTGAAACTGTGTATGGAGTCTGCCTCCACCACATCACTTTCTAATGCATTCCATTTGTCAACTACTGACACTAAAAAAAAATCTATCTAATATCTCCATGAGCTGTAGGAGAGGAAAAGATCAGTGGTAGTACAGTAGTGGGCATTAATGAACAGGAAGGCTCCAGTAAGACTGAATAGGTTGGTAAAGACAATGAGGCAGTGAGAGGGATCCTACAGAGGGAAGGGGCTGGACATAACATAGAGAAGGTTTTCAGGCTTGGCCGGTACAACAAGGTCAGAGATCGCCTGATAAAGATAGTGTTTACAAACGAGATCGCAAAGGAGGCAGTTCTTGCAAGGAAGAGCCGTCTGTACCATGTGAGAGGTTACAGGAAAGTATTCCTCCAGAGGGACTTGACGAGGGAAAAGAGTAATGGCAGCAGAAGTGAGGGGGAAGCACAGGAGATGAGAGAAACGGGGTACCACAGCTCCCAACTCCACAACCCCAGAGGGGAGTGGGGAACTCCCAACCAGCACCCCAACAACCCGAGAGGAGAGCACAACACCCCCATCTTCCTCTCCATAGAAACCCCCCTTACCCTGAACCCCCTCTGTCCTCATTCAATTGCTCATTCAGCCCTTCCTTTCCCCCCCTCACCCCCATACCCTCCCTGTCCTTCCTCCCCCTCCCTCACCCCATATCCTCCCTGTACCCTAATTTTACATTTGCTTATGTTGAACATTTAAAATGTAGCCATTTCTCGGACCATCTCTGCAACTTGTTCAAGTTCTCTTGGAGGATCCTACAGTCCTTATCTGTCACAACTCTTCTCATCAACTTTACATCATCAGCAAACATCGACATACAGTATAGGACTCTACTATTGTAGAAATGTCATTTACGTATATCAGAAATAGAACTGGTCCCAGCACCGATCCTTGAGGTACTCTAATCGTTACTGTTCGCCAGTCCCACTTCTCGCCCCTGACTGTTACTCTCTGGCTTCTTCATGTTAGGTAGTTCCTTACCCTTTCTAGGGCCTTTCTGCTTACACCTGCCTGCTGCTCAAATTTAAATAGTAGTCTCCTGGGCAGCACTGTATTAAAAGCTTTTTGGCAGTCCAGAAATATGCAGTCTGCCCATCCTTCCATGTCCTGCCTTATTCTTGTTTCTTTATCGTGGAATTCCTGGTTTGTTAGGCATGATTTCCTTTCCGTGTGTGTGTACTCATCTTGTTGTACTTCTAGTTGTGATTGTGGGGGTGGGTTGAGCTCTGGCTCTTTGGGGCTGCCTCTCAACTGTCAAGCAACTGATTTTTTTCCCCTTCTTCCCCCCTCCACCCTCCCACACAGACAGACAGGAAGCAGCCCGTAGCACCTGTCTAACTCCCAAGTTCCTATTTACTGCTAGGTGAACAGGAGCATCAAGGTGAAACTGCCCATTTGTTTCCACCTCCGCCGGGGATCGTCCCCCGGATTGTGGGGATCATTGTGTGTGTGTGAGAGAGAGAGAGAGAGAGAGAGTGCGCGCGCGTGTGCGCTTGAGTGTTTGTGTAAAGAGGGGTGAAAAATTAAAAGCATAGCATAGCATGTTCTCAAAAATTTGAAACTTGTTCTAGTGGAAACTTTACAAACCTGAAAAATATTATTGTTTTAATAGAATGTCAAAGCTCGAAAGAAATTTTCGTGAACATTAAAAAAAAGTTTGGGTGGGTTGTTTACTGACCTGGCATCGTCGGTAATCGCCAACCCTAGGCTTTGAAAATGTTTACTGTCATTTTATTATTTGTCTGTAATTGTTAATATAGCAATAATAAATTTTTGATATAAAAGTTTTGCTTTTTAGTAATTATTTGCTGTGCTTTAGACTGTACCAAAACTGATACAATACAGTTAGTGTATTAGTTAGTTACTATTTCTGTTGACAGCCAGCCTTTATCAACGAGATGTTACTATTCCCGGCCATGGAGGGGGACTCCCGGCCATGAGGGGGTACTGTCCCGGCCATGGAGGGGGGGCACTGTCCCGGCCATGGAGGGGGGGCACTGTCCCGGCCATGGAGGGGGGGCACTGTCCCGGCCATGGAGGGGGGGCACTGTCCCGGCCATGGAGGGGGGGCACTGTCCCGGCCATGGAGGGGGGCACTGTCCCGGCCATGGAGGGGAGTACTGTCCCGGCCATGGGGGTACTGTTCCGGCCATGGAGGGGGGGTACTGTCCCGGCCATGGAGGGGGGTACTGTCCCGGCCATGGAGGGGGGTACTGTCCCGACCATGGAGGGGGGTACTGTCCCGGCCATGAGGGGCACTGTCCCAGCCGTGGTGGGTGGGGGGGCTTTACGCTAGTGCGATCAACCACTATTGTCAAGGGATTTTCATCAGTATTTGGGTATTGCTTCATTTACAAATAAAAACCTGACTGCCAACAATAAGTAATTTGACTCAACAAGATGGGAAGAAGAGGGTGTCTTCACACAAACGAAATTGCTAAAATGAGATTGAAAAGTGATCCGGCTGAAGTGTGGTGTTGGGACAGAACATTTCCGAACTACAAAAAGTAGCTCATTGCCAGAGGAGAGAGAGAGGAAAGAGATCTGGGCAAAGAAATGTGCTCCGTGGCTCAAATTTTGATGTTATTTTCTTAAAGTTAAATTATATATACAGTACATTATATTTTTACACTAGAAAAATCCTTGTTTAAATAGTGTGTGTAAACATCGAGAAAATGGGCATTCTATCGTTTTTAGTAAAAAGATTTATCAGCGTTTGGAATTTGTGAAAAGCTGAATGGGGTCTGGAGTAATATAGCCCAAATTTATGAAGTTTCACTATACTGTACTGTATTCAAAATGAAATAAACCATGATTTGTATTAGTCATGTATAGTAACAAAGGAAAGTTATTTAGTTAGCCTGTTATTTGATAGTTAATGTTTTAATTGGTGTTTCTGCACTGCCTACAGAAAGAATGCTAAACATTTAACACACTCGTGCAACAACTTGTGTACTGCACACCTAGTGCGATTAAACCTGGGGTCTTTAAACCCAGGCTTACACCTCTACCTCTGTCTGGTGTTGCATGGGTTCTCTTGTCAGTGAACAGTTTCCTTGGGTGTCCAGTTTAAGCTGCTCACCAGTCTTGTCATTTTGTAACTGGTAT